CCAGTGCTCAAGGGACCAGTTGATTCTGCAGGAAACTAAAACTTTTAAACATCAAGGAACAGCATCCATTGTAACCGATTTAATCAGCATTTGAAATAGTTTCAAAACCTTTTGACTTTAATATAATTTTAATTCAAAATGTCTGTTTTCAATTTTGTAAATATTTACCTATAAAGTTTATTCATTTTAACATTTATTAATTTAGCTTAATAAGTTAATATTGGTTTTCAGCGTTGTAAATTGTCAGATTGAATTATCTATTTTAATTCACATTGTCTACTTTCAATTTGTAAATATTATTTGCATAATCGTTTTCATTCATGTGAACACTTTTTTTTTTTAAATTTATGTTTTATTTATTTATATTGTAAAATGTCAAATTGAGTTATCTCGATTTAAGACTTTCCTGGAAAAAAAAAAAGATAATTGTCTAGATGGCTCACAGCGTTTGTTTAGCTGAAAGTTGACTACATTGTCTGACATGTAGATTGTCATTAAGAGGAAGCCTCCACCTCTCTGTATAGGAATTTTAATCTTGAGAATATAAAACGGCACGCCAGTTTGCGTTTATTGATTGAAGCAAAATTTTACAGAAATGATTGGTGATTTTAACAAACACGGAAGTCGTATACTACCTATTAGTGTCAGAAATGATACAGGCAGCCAGTTTGTCAGAAGCAAGGAAGAGTGTGAAATGAATTATAGATGGATGTTTAATTACTTTCATTACTCAATTCCCTGCTACCATGTGATTGGAATGAATGATGAAAGGGAAGTCTTGTATTCTGCAGTCAGTGGACGATAAGGCTGGGCCGGGGCAGGGGCTGGAAATGACCGGAGGCAAATCTGTTGCTTCTGGAACAAGAAGTTCTATAGTGCTCTGTACCTAATTCAATTTGCTGTTTGATAGAAAAGATACCACTCAGGTCACTCTTGTGTTCTGGAATTCCCAGAATTTGCCAAAATGTTACAGGCCATTGCCAGCTTAGGCAAAGATTTACCATTACAAGTCCTCAACAACTCTTAAATGCACCCGTGAGCATTTATTATTTTTTGCATTGGAGCCAGTAAAGCAATGCAACCGTGATCAGTGGCTCAATGTTGCAATGCTTTGGCTCCTGCAGACTCTTCCTCCAGTCCCTGTCTGTGACTTGTAGTTTCTCCTTTCACCAGGTCCTGTCAAAGGATCTGTAAATGGATGGCATGACTGTAGGAGTAGAGCCACACACAGCCTTGCCAGATTCAAAAACTGCCACATTTTTGGTCCTTTGAGGTTCATTTCTGGCGTGCTTCTATGAGGTATAATACGGTATCACCCTTAGCCATGCACCCCCCAACAGGATACATAGGGTAAGGTAAAATGGATGAATTGGGCTGTTATAGGATTTAAAAAAATTGTCTGATCATTATTGTTCTCCAGAGGATGAGCCAACATTGGGACTCCATCTGGGGCACCACTGCTGGTTGGGGACAGTACCTGTAGGCTTTTCTGAGGCTTTGTATTATAATCAATGAAAACATATCTGTAAATGATATCACATTATATCTAAATTACTAGTAATCCAGACTGGTCCATATAATCCTTGTATTTAGTGTGTGAATTGTATTCTGGGGCTGCCATATATAAAGTACATCTTTAGCAGATGTAAAAGGTAATAATTAGTGAAGCTGGAAGTGTAAGTACTTGATTTTGACTTGCTGTCAGCCTCTTACAGTCTCAATACACCAGAGATCAAAGTGGGGAAGGGAGAAGCAGCACTAGGAGCCAATCAGTTATGTGCTGACAGGGATATTGCTGATAGGAGGAAGAAGCAGAGTATTGGAGTGATGAGCTCGTCACTGTGCTTACTGCATGCTGTACCTTCTTAAGCGCACACCACTGCAACACAGTGGTGTGAACTAAGCCCATCTGGTACAAGGCAAATTATCTTGTCTTGCATCGCGGCTGTGCTGATAAAAACGCCCACCTCATCCCCAACGCATTGGGTGAGAACAGGCCCCTAAAGTGAGCATTGCAGCAAAAGCCGTTTTTAGTTTTTAGATTTTAATGGTTAATATGGTCTGCATTACACTTAATGTTACCCTCACTTCCCCCTGTAATCCACTGAGATTTAGGACAACCGGACATATTTATGATGCTAGGTCCAGGGTGGAAAGAGATTGTTAAAAATCCCATATAGACCAGAACCTGTCAGCTTTGGCTTGTAGTATCAGTTTAGCATTGACTTAATGCCTCAGCATCATGAAGTGGGCAGGGTCAGGCTTTTTTTTGCAGCAGAACATAACACAGGCAATATATTTCAGCAATTCACTTTAGTACCGCTGGAGTGAGCATTGAATTATGGATCATGAGCATTGGATCCTGCTCATATGTTGTCATTTTTTAAAACAGCATTGCTTTAATGCTGTTCTTTACATGTTTTAAGTGTGGCTGTTTTCACAAATGTTTGGCAAATGTCTGCCCCTGTTCACCTGCTACAAAGTTGCAATGTTGCAGTCTGATTACTAGGGGAGAGGAGACTCAGAAAATGCTTCCTCCTGCCTGCAGCAGACTGATGACATCATAGTCTTAGCCTAGGCAAAGTCACTGGACTGGAGGTCAAGGTCAGCTTTCTAATGATAAAAGCTACATAATGTTGTATATTGTGACTTGTCAGGAATTTATTCATGAAGACCTGTTATTGAAAAGTTCCAGATTCCAGAGCCAATGGATATCAATAGACAAATTAAACTTAAGCAATAAAAATATAAATAGATCCCTGTGCAAGTCATCTCATAGCTTTATTTTCTTACAACATATACATGATAAAGAGGTAGATGGCACATTGATACTGTCTGGCGGTAACATGGTATCAATTTCCAATTTAAAAAGACAAACTGTGTCCATCTCTTCTAGTATTGTCTGAACTTTGATGCTTTCCTGCACTCAATACACACACAATATACATATATTAGGGATGCACTGATACCGGTTTTTCGTATCGAGTACGAGCACTGATATTTATCACTCACCGATACCGTAGACTGATACCGGTACTTCTGCTAGCATGGGGTCTGCTTCCTGGGCAATCGGGAAGCCAGGAGGCATGTCATTACCTGCCGCCCGGCTTCTTGATTGCCCGAGAAGCCTGCTCCATGATGTTTGGCAGGCTCGATGCTGATTGGCAGGGAAGCCATCTTCACAGCCAAACATCATGGAGCTAGCTTCCCAGCTAATTCAGGAAGCTGGGAGACGGGGCATTACCCCCCGCCTGGCTTCCTGATTTGCCGGGAAGTCGGCTCCATGCTGTTTGGCTGACTCGATGCTGATTGGCTGGGAAGCTGACTTCCCAGCCAATCAGCATCAAGCCGGCTGTCGAGCTTTGACAGCTCTGAGCTACGGGCCGAACGGAGCTAGTGATTGCCGGCGCTGACAGGAGTAGCTATGCGGTCTGCATCTGAAAGAGATGCAGACCATGTAGCTGCGAGCCAAATGGTACTTGTTCGTGGGCCAGTACTTGGAGACCCCTGCACTGGAGGCTGAGACTAGACTCAGCCTTCCTTCCTGCTGCGGTACTATCAGTCACCGCTCCCTGCAGGGATCCCCCCTCCCCTCTCCAATCCTCCAGCGCTGACTGGAGCAACGGACAGGGGAGTAGGCAGGCACAGCTGGCTCTGCCTCTAGATAAGCAGGGCCTGCTGTCACTCATGCAGCTGGGAGGATCTCGACAGTATTGTCAGGATCCATCCCGGCTGCGGCGCTCTCAGTGTATAGCGGGCAATAGCCCACTATATACTGAGCTTTGGGTCACGGGAGGAGGTTAGCATATGTCCTCTCGTGACCCTAAAGAGAACAATGGGGAAAAACACATACCCCCATAATTCTCTTTTAATGTTCATTCACATAATGTACATTCACTGTTTTGAGCATTGTGTTTTTAAAATGGAAATACATTGATTATTAAAAAATAGCAACTCTTATATACATTAGAATCATATATTGAATGTATTAAAAATATTTGTTTTTAAAATATAAAATTTTACACATATTACATTATTTATAGTTACATTTTTGGAGGGTTCGTCCTCCCCCTCCCACACACACCTTTTGCATTACATATATCACAATGATTTTACAAACTTATTTTTCTTATTCCTACCTGGCCTAGAAATATTGTTCCCTTTTCCTTCGGGATTCTCGAATCTTTCAAATTTTTTTGTTGTTTACAGAATTTTCTGGAGACCACTGATTCTCCCAACTGTAGTAAAATGTGGCACACAGACACACTGGCTTGTTCAGTACGGCAAATAGCAAAGTATAGACTGTATATCGCACTAATTAGACTGTAGTACAGTTAAAGCCTAACTGAAATTTCAGTTTAAACCAGCTAAATGCATTCCACGTGCCTGAAAACAAAAGGTGTGCAATATCTTACAGTTCATTTTCTTTGCAAAGCAGTCACATCCTGAGTAAAAAAAAAGCCTGTACCCTGCCACCATGCTTTGTAGAAGGACACTTGCTCTCTATGTGGAAACAGTGATCTCTCTGCAGAAAGTAGACACATCCCCTGCTAAGTCAGAGCTATAGCTCTGCAGTCAGCAAAGCTCATATTTCTTGCTGATTGGAGAGCTCTAGCTTTAAGTGTGTGTGTGTGTGTGTTGGGGGTGTTGTTGGATCTCAGCAGAGAGACCACTGCTTCCACACAGAGAGCAAGGGTTCTTCACTACAGCATGCTGGCATGGGACAGGCTTTTCTACTCAGGATGAGGCTGCTTTGCAACAAAAGCAAACAGTAGGACAGTTAACACCTTTTGTTTTGATGTACCTGGAATGTGGCGGACGTAAAGTGGAAGTACAGTTGGGCTTTAAATCTGATTTGTTGCTGTGGGTTACTGTTCTTTGCAAAATTTTATCTGTCTTTGAAAGCCTTTTGAAATAAACCCAATTCAGCATTTGATATATTTAATTTTGCTTCCCCCCCTGTACTTATTGTGAAGTTATTGCTTCTGGCCATTCCCATTCCATGACATCACACAATGGGGTGCGGCTTATATTACAGTAATATATAGGCTGCCAGATGCAGCTTCAATAAGTCACACAGGCACATCAAGCCTAAAAAATGGATTTGCTAAATGTCCTCAAGTGTTTCTAACACGTGTGGCCTGATCCATTGGCTTCTTCTAGTTTCTCCGCCTCAAATTTTGTGGTTGGGATTTCACTGCCATTTTTTGGCTTTTCTTCAGTGGCCACTTGACTGTAGTTGTCTTTTTTCAGTCCAACGCCTTCCTTCATTTCCAAATCTTTCTTGTCTCCATTCTTTTCTGCTTCAGCCTCCTTCCTGAGCATTCGATAGTTGTAGAAGTTGCCGACCAACAGAAAGAGACCAGCAAACACCATGATGGCTCCGCACTCTAAAAACATATACTTGTAATCTCCTAGGGCATCCACAATGGCACCTGCAAGGAAATAAAATAGATATTCAGAATAATAATTTTTATGGGGTTACCTTCCTTTATATTGTACATAACTTCTTAGTAATGCTCATCAATTATCAGTGAGTTGCTAACATTATTACTGACTGGATAGCTCTTGGAAGCCACATCACCAACCTCATTTTAAAATATCAACCAAATCATACTCTCCGCTACTCTCGCGACCTGCTCTGCATCTCCTCCTATGCTTGCCTCAAGGATTCCTCCAGAGTGTCTCCCATCCCCTGGAACTCCTTACCCCAATCTTTCCTCTTATCCCCTAATTACTCCTGTCCACCTATAAGCGATCCTTGAAAACTCATCTCTTCAGCGAAGCCTATCCCACCTCAACATAATAATTGTCCTTTTACTTCTTCCATTAATTCATCCCACACAATTATTACCTTTTGTATCACTTGCCCCTCCTACTAGATTGTAAGCTCTTACGAGCAGGGCCCTCCTGTATTGAAATTGTATTGTAACTGTACTGTTTTCCTCTATTTTGTAAAGCGCTGTGCAAACTGTTGGCACTATATTAATCCTGTATAAATAATAATAATACCTTCAACAAAGGGGTTCTGATGGGCTGAACAGACAATTTTAATTTCTGGTTCTACATGATAAGGAATGTCTGTGTAATGACGAGTGAATAAAAACTGTGCAGAAGGCCTAACACAAACAGGAAATCAGGGTTTTCTGTTTTCCATTTTGCTGATGTACTAGGAAATAGACATCAACTCAAAATTAACTGCATGCAACAGTAACATATCATTTCACATAAGCTACCTTCTGTTCAATGTGTGGACAGCAAATAAATCTGCAGCAAGGAGTAATTACGTCATTCTTTCAACTTGTTTATTTGGCCCATAAAACAGCAGTACAAAGTTACAAGTAAAAAGTATACTTTAGGTTTGATAAAGAGCTGTTATGGCTTGTTATGTTTTGCACCAAAGGCTTTTAACTTTGTACTTAGTATTGCTGTTTTATGGACTAAATATACAAGTGTTGAAAAATGACATTGTATAAGTCCTTGGTGCAGAATATCTTACTAGGACAATGTTTATATGTTTCTTATATTCAACGCTGAACAAATTTGTACCCTGTTTGGTCATCTTGGCTGTCTGGTATGGATAATTTTTTAAATGTGATTGCCCTAATGTGCAGAATTCAGTAGTAGTCTGTGTCTTCACACGTTTTCCAAAAGTATAGGAAATGTCATGTTCCTGTGAACAACTCTCATAAGAGCCAAACATGATATATGAGCTGTATTAGGTTTCTGAGAAGGCTGCTCTACAATTGACCAATGCTAAATAAAAATAAATCCATGGAACAAAGTTGGCATTACTAGGCCTGGTGCCCACTAATGTCGAGCTCTGTTTCCCATTATTCATCTAGTTACATACATTTTTGTCATCATTATAACTGTGTTTTAGGTGCAAGATTGTCAACTTACCTCCAATCGGTGGGCCCAGTAGCAGAGGAACGCACTCTACAATTGTGACCAATCCAACGGCACTTGAAAACCGCTTGGCTCCAACTAGATCCATAAGGGTTTCAAAGAGCAGGGCACACACCATGCCAAAGGCTAAGCCAAAGAACACAGAGTACGTGACAAGGCCCGCATAGGTAGTAGCCAAGGGGCACAGAAGATGACATGTGCCATTAAAAATCACAGAAAGGCTGAAGAAGTATTGGATTCTCGGCCTTATCCATTTGGTGTTGGCTATGACACCAGTTAACGGTCTGGCAAACATATCAACGATGGCGAGTATGGACAAGAGAAAGGCAGCTGAATATTCATCAACACCACAATGTTTTCCATAAGGAGCAAGAAACACAATAGGGGCATAAAAGGCAATGAACATCAGGACGTTTCCGATGAGGTAGATTAAGAAACCCCTGTGCTTAAAAAGAGTCAAGTCCAAGATTTTGTTAAACCGGGTTAGGCAACCTTCCTTCTCCTTCTTGTCCGAATCTTCTGTTTTTCCAGGCTCCGTTAGACTTTTGCTAATCTTTTCTGGGTCTTTCTCCTTTTTCTTTTTAGAAGCCATTGGTCCAATGGGACGAAAGAGTGTACCCGCTACACAACAGTTCAACAGCATGGCACCCAGGATAAAAAAGCTGCCCCTCCATCCATACCTGTCAAAGAGAAACTGATTCAGCGGAGCAAGAGTTGATAATACCACTGGACTTCCAGCCATGGCCAAGCCATTGGCGATTGGTCGTCTTTTCAGAAAGTACTTCCCCACAATGATGACGGATGGCTGAAGGTTCATAGAGAAGCCAAACCCTGCACAATATGAACAAATAACTTTAGCATAAGGAATAATAGCACAAGGAATAATATCATATAATAATATATAATAAAATTGATGAATAACGTCACCATAAACAGGTCTCAGAACCCAAAGAAATGTATTGTTAATAATATAAATGCTGCAATTATTTCTGATCTATATGACACAACGGGTTGAATTACCCCAGAAATAGGCTGTTCACTTTGCAAGGTCAGTGGAACCTGCATAAGACGTGATGATGTCAGTGGTCCTTAGACTGCCGGAGCCTAGGGGAGAAGAGACTGAGGGGACCGGTCTAGAGGGAGCTGGCAGGACGGATGATCAAGTAAATCTGCTTAATTTGAGTCCCCTAGACAAAACGAGCACTTAACCCTTGCAGTGTGGAGGGAGTTTTTAATTTTTCTGGAGTTCTTCTTTAAACAATAACTTTTCGTTGGTATAACAAAACTTAGTTACCAACAGGCAGATATGGACTCCCTTGCAATTGACTGCCTGTACTTACTCACTCTCACAATGAAACCATTGCCCAAAGTGACTTGCACACAGTGTTTACACTGTGCCTCCGACTTCACTAATAATAAAGTGCTGCGCTGTAGCACTTCATAAGCTGAAGATAAATGAATGAGGTCTTCTGCAGGTTGGCTCATAGAGTATGGTGGCTACCCTGAGTGGGGCCCACAACCTTGCCTTCAGCATAGGACACAGAACTAGAGTGACATTGTGCTGATGAGCAGGTACCTGGTTATAGTTTGCGAGGTAGCGCACATCTGCCAAATTTTATTTTTACCAGCACAGTTATATTTTTAACACCAGTAAGCACATTATTTGCTTACTCTTATTTGTAAAGGAGTCTCTACAAGCATAGGTCAAGCTGATTCTTCTCCAGTTACAGACAAATAACTCTAGGTTGCCTCAAAAGATTCCTAAATCTCTTGAGAACACAGAGGACCTTAATCAGACCTCAGGCTGAGAACCACTGGCCTTGATAGACTGAATCATTCAGTCTAGAGCTGCACAGGCAATTCTCCAGTGGTGATCAATCATAAAATAGATGTAAAAATGACTTCTATGGTGTAAGCTTCACTATCAGCATGTAGTACCGATCACCCACACTCATTGGGGCATTGCACAATTATGCCTATTATGTGCTACTTGTGTAGTTTATTCAACGGGGAGCCATTCTCCCACCTGGTTAGAGTTCTATTGCTACTATTAGGTCTAATTGCTAGCTGTATTAATAGCACCAACTACTCAAATTTTCCGTTGTAGCACCAGCCTACAATTTTGCTTATTTCACACAGCCAGCAATCCAGAGTTGTGTACAGATGTGAATTATGGAACAAATGGTATTTAAAGGAGTTTTACTTTATGGAACTTTTGACATTTAGAAAAAAAACATTTATCACATTTTTTGGAGATGCTCTGGATTTATGAAATGTAACATGTTATGCAAATTTAGGTTGAATGCCAACCACCAGGTTGAATGCCAACTACCCATTTAGGAAATAATCAATTAGAGCTCCCTATTATCTCATCATTAATTTTCCACTGACACAAATCTAATGTATTACCATCTCATTTTACTAGCATTAATTAGTATGTGTTCGCATCCTACTCGGCTCTTGTCTTGCTGACTTGCCATTAAAATGATTTGAAGTCACCAACAAAATTCTTTTTTGCTAATTTGACTCCTTTTCTCAGTTAAAGCTGAACTCCAAGCAGATATAAAAAGACACAATTGAACGCGGCTCTCTATTTATTATTAAGATTATTAAATGTATTCTTAAGTGTAAGCAGTGTAAGTACTTGAATTGGGCTTGGTATCAACCTCTTGCAGCAATACAGAAGAACTCAGACTAGGAAAGTGAGAAGCAGCAGAAGGAGGCAGTCAAGTGTGTTGTGGTGATGTAGTAGAAAAGTGTATTGTCTAGGTTCCATTTTGTTTTATAACCTCCATTTTGTATATTATAATGAGTTCATTTTAAATTTCATATGAGGAGAGGCTGATACCCCTCCTTTTTTGTACATACATTGTGACTGTCTAAAAGACATACATTTTTCTGTTATCAGGGCTGACAGTTTCTCGTGACTGGAACAGACTGTTAACCCCCAAAGTCTGGTGTCCTGATAAGGATCCTGTCATGGGTCTTTGTTCTAAGTCTGGTATAAGCTGATAAGGATCTTGTCTTGATTCACATGTATGCAATTTAGTAGGGATGCACGTATAACGATACTAGTATCGGTGCCAATGCTGAGTAATTGGGCGAGTACTCGTACTCGCCCAAATGCTCCGATGCCTAGCCCAATACTTTTGGTATCAGGAAGCCGACGCTGCGTTATTATACACTGCGCACGGCTTCCTGATTGGCCAGAAAGCCGGCTCCATGCACACCTCTCTACGTCTAAGCCCTGAATAGGGCAAAATGCATTAGTGGGGTGGACAAAGGAATGGGCCTGAGCCGAGCTGTGCAAGTCTGAATAACTGAGTTTTTGAGCGTAACAAGTGGTGTACGGCCAGATTTTCTTTACTGTGGAGGTGAATATCTTTCAATGTGATGGAAATCCTCTTAATGGACGCTTTCTTGTTCTGAATGCAACCTCAAATCTTGGGATTTACCTTCCCTTCCCAGTGACATTGGTAATCAGGACAATCAGAGAGAGAGTAAACCAGGTGGTGGTTCTAACCCTTCACCACTCTATCCAAATCTTTTTCACTTTATTGCAAATAGCAGATTCATGAACACAATAACCCCGGCCATTAACTGCTAACATTTATTATATAATCAACACCATTACCCTAATGAACATATAGAAACGCACCATATAATACCCGATTTGTCACATGTTAATGTAATATTCTGACTAATGTCAATACAATTTTTCAGCATCTGACTCTTTTCATAAAACGTACGTCATAAATCTGCCGATCGATTGTCCTGTCAACAGTTCACTGACAAATCCATATGTTACAACAGATTACATAGAGGAATTGAGGATATAATGGTTCATTACCTGCAAGCACTCCGACAAAGATGTAAAGCTGTAAAATGCTGGTGCTGAATGTGGCAAGGATCATGCCCAGTCCGCTGAGGAGGCCCCCTGCTATGACCACCGGGCGGCTGCCATACTTGTTCACTAAGATGCTGCTGATGGGACCTGGATCGACGAGAGAAGAAAACGATTACATGAGCTGCTTTCATTAGACTTTGTCAAGGCTGCAAAATGCTGTTAACATGAAAACGATAAATGTAATTAATTGCATATTACTAAAGCAAATTCAAATACAACACAAACGGCCATCATAAAACGGATGATGAAGTGTGATATTGGCTCCTCTTTGTTCTGCTGTGTATAATAAACTCATGTGTTCTTACTTTAATAGCTTCAGCTGTCATGCTATGGTGGACTCATCACAATACACACAGGAAAAAGACACCAGAAGTGAAAATAATTCTGGAAATTATTAAGTGATCCTTATATGCTAATATTTTGTACATTGTAGTCCACTCTTTCTACAACTAAACAATCTTTAAAGTGTTTATGACCTTTAGACCTATTTTTAGAATGTTTAGCATCTTGCTTCACTGTATACATAATTTTTTGGGAATCTGTTGTGAAGTTTCTTATTTGGAGATCCTGCCAGTAACAACACTAAGCCACTGCTTCGGCATTAGTAGAAGCGCTGTCAGCCTGCCGTGTGCACTCCTTCAGTTGGCCATTAAGTTGTTAATTTCCATGATAGGCAACTAAACAGTCAACGGAAGGAGTGAGGACTGAAGGACTGCTAACTTATTTTTTTTACAGGTGCTTTGCCTACTGTACATTCAGGGCGGTCCCTATAATAAATGGAAGCCTGAGGCAGTTCCTAATATGCAAATGCGACCGCTGCGACCCTGGTAGGTCTGCCAGTGATGGGAACAGGCTTTACCGTAATTGCGGGATATATTTTGGTAGCAATAGGCTTAGTTACGCCTTCATGGTTTCATGCACCCGGGCCCTGAGGTTTCTAGTTATGCCTCTGCCCCTTACTGTACTGTACCTATGGAGGAGAAGCATAGTCACCATAGGAAGTGTGTTTCGTGTACAAAACACTTCCCTCTCTACTCATCTCCATAACATAATAGGGGAGAGGTGTTCTGTAGTTCACAGAGGTAACCTGGGCAGGGCTGATAACACTGCTTGAGATAAAACTGCAGAACGTACAAGTTCCTGTGTACTCTGCAGTCTAGAGAGGCAGAGCCAGCTGTCAATCAGTTGGTGGGGTGGATCCCAACAATATATTTCCTGGCTGCAGCGCGGCTCTCCGCAATATCCCCCTATATGCTGAGTTTTGGGTCACAGGAGAACATTAGTATATGTCCTCCTGTGACCTCAAAGAGAGCTATAGCCAAAAAAGGTTTGTCCAGAGTTCTCATTTAATTCATGCTGACGCTGTCCTTCCTTCTGGAGGATGGCTACTTGTGCTCCTCATGGAGTCTGTGTGTGTTGTAAGGTAGTCACCGCTCCAAGCTCACTCCCATGATAAACTTCAACATCAATATAAATTAGTAAACTAAATGCGAGACTGTAGTCTATCATGACAGCAGAACATTGCCCGAAGCATCACTCCGCCGGCTTGCCTTCTTCCCATAGTGCATCCTGGTACCATCTCTTTCCCAGGTAAGTGACACACACGCACCCAGCCATCCACATGATGAAGAAAACGTGATTCATCAGACCAAGCCACTTTCTTCCATTTCTCTGTGGTCCAGTTCTGATGCACACATACTCATTGTAGGTGGTGGGCACAGGTCAGCATGGACATCCTCTAGGTTCTCAACTGGTGGGTCTTGACCCTAAAGTGTGTCGCGACCCGTGATCAGTGGGTCTCCACATGCTTTCCACCTTTTTAGGTGAGAGGCTTCTCTGCCTCTCCCTAGCGCAGCACTGTCAGTTCTCGCGCCACCAGACATTCAAAATATGCTTCCCAGCGCTGAGTGTCAGCTGAGGTGGAATGGAGGTATGGTTGCGAGGGAGCGCCATCCATACGTGCATTGCTTACAGCTCCCTCACGTGTCCTGTAGAGGTGCCTGGACCGGAGTGATATCACATTCTGGATCCTGGCATCTATACAGGGTACACAAGGGAGCTGTACCAGCAATGCACATATGGATGGAGCTCTGTCACAGCACAGCAGCCCACACTTTATCACAGGCTGAGGATCCATTCCAGTTCTAGTAAGGCAGGCAGACTCGGTGGACCTTAACTGCTTGAAGACCAGGTGTTTAGATCCCCTACCTGTCGGCAGGCAGTGTATACACAGCGGCTGGCCGGGAGGTAGTTAAAAAAAAAGTGAGATTGTGTCTGTGTATGTATGTCAGTGTTTTTGAGGGCCCGTTCACACTGGTACAGTGCATTAATCTAATGCCGTACGTTCCATTGCAGTGTGACTTGGGTCGCGACTTAATGACCGAAGACAAATGTGGATCCTGAGATTACACAGGTTAAGAACCACTGCTCTAGGTAGAGCTGCCCATCTTCCCGCAACTACCTAGGGCGAAGGCGGCTGGATGCAGTTTGAAGTCCAGCCGTTCTTCACCCATCTCTCCTAACTGAAACTCTGTACCTCCGTACGAGCTCTGCCTGGGAGAGAATGTGCAGAAGCCTGAGCTTTGCAGCTGTGATCGAGTGATCACAATTGTAATGCTTTCCAGGCTTAAATGCAAATATTAAGGAAATACTTATTTTTTTTAATATATATTATTAATTATGCATTTCTTTAATTTTTGTAAAAGGTGAACTTATCCTTTAAAGATAAGGCCTAATGAATGCACAGCTACGACCGCATTAATTAGCAGAAACATATTTACATTATTATCATTATTGCAGTTTAGGGTCGCCTGCCCTATTCTCAGTTGAGTATGGGATCAGGACATTGCATTGGTGGATGTACTGAGCAGTTTATGACCAACCTTATCATTATAACTTTAGAAAGGAAATCAAATCGTGAAAGATTGAAACAGTCCAAAAAAATTTGCGGGGTGAAGGCTGAAGAAATCAATTCAGTCTTTAGTTTTCTCTGATTCTTCGTACGCGCTCCGCTGATAGGAGCCGAGCATCATTACCCCCAGAATAAATAGCTTCTCCATTCCCTGTTCAGCAATTTGTACCAGAGCGGCCCAAATACACCGACACAGGAAGAAAAATGCCCGCCCGGCATCTTCAATAAATAAAGCACAGTTTAAAAATATATAGCGAGGAGATTTCCATACCAAGGTGAAACCATTCCAAGTAATGAGGTAAAAATATTTCTCTGAGAAGAGAGAAAACAACACAGAGGCTAATTTCTGTGGCATTATACCGCCATTGTATTTCATTCGGTTTTTGGACTGTACTGCGTCTGAAAACAACTGCAGGAAACCATTACACCTAAAAAACAAAGCAATCATATTTTCCATAACAAGCAGAAAAAAAATGAAAGGTGCGGAACGCGGTGAAGCATAAATCCAGATTAATCGTGTATAATGTAAAAATAAAACTTCCAGGATTACCAGGAGAAAACTCTGCAGAATGTCAGAGCGGAAATGTCTCTCTGCTGAGGACAAAGTATTCTCCATTCTGATAAGTGTGACATAAAATATTGCATGAAGGATGGAAACAGAATAACTATGGACACGGGACAGATAATTCTAAAATAGATGTATGTAGGCTGACTGACAGACAGGTAATTCTGGGATAAAAGACATACTGAAATATAGAAAAACATTGATACTGTTATCAATAAAATCATGTTTAATGGTTTCAAGAATGGCCTTACTGGCTCCTATATTTTATCTATAAGATAGATAGATAGATAGATAGATAGATAGATAGATAGATAGATAGATAGATAGATAGATAGATAGATAGGTAGATAGATAGATAGATAGATAGATAGATAGATAGATAGATAGATAGATAGATAGATAGATAGATAGATAGATAGATAGAGAGATTATATCCCTGTAACAGCAAAATCAGAACTAAGAGAAGCAAATGTGATTGTCCTTTGCCTACATCCTATGCCCTTAGGCCTCATTCACATGAATGGCAGACTTTACCACCCCTCCGTGGTGGATGTATTTTCGGAGGGCGGAAGAGCAGTAACTCCCAGGCGTTCAGGATGTGATATGCCGCCTCCTAAATGCTTGTTTTGTTTTTTATCCCAAGTGATTTTACATGCAACTATCATGCTGCGACCATACAACAGGCATTTGGCCTTGTCCTATACACATGAATGGTTGCGTTTGGTAGGTGGCAATGCGTCATGCTGTGTACGTTTTGCCATGGGGCAAAGCAAAGCATTGCGGCAACGTGACTGTCCAGCTGCAGTGCTAACTAGTCGGATGGTGGCCGGGGAGCATCTGTTTTGGAGGTACATGTTGGTAGTAGGTATGGGTATACTAGGGTACCTCTCAGTGCCAGCTATTGACTTCTTAGCTTAGCATACATTTTAGCTAAAGGAAAAAATTGAATATTTCACAGAGTCTTTTGCCATTTGTAACCCAAAAGCTTCAATACACACACAAAAGCGTCTTCGGACAGACGTGATGTAACGCATTGATGAATTTCCAAATACAAATAATAGCGGCTATTTGTGTCCCTTTGTCTGTCTCTGGCCACAATCTCAGCTATTACTTTACTTTACTTTATCAAAGCCATGGCTTCTTCTCCGTATCAGCGTGAGTCAAATAAACCATTTTTCAGTCTGGTCTTGTCACACACTTAGTAAACAATTACTAAAAGCACGCCAGACAAAAAAAAGGGCCATTATTGATCCCAGCGGGCGTCATTTCATTTCTATATTTCATTTGCTTTTATCTCTCACATGCAATGCTTTCATATTGGATTATGAAATGCCTTCCAATGCAATTCACTCCTTGGATCTGCCATTATTAGCAATCAGACATGTGAAATTTGCAATATACATGGCAAGCTTGTAGTTAAACCAGAACATTGAGGGAAATTATTATTAACCCTTGCAGTGGGGCTACTCCTAGCCTAATATGGGCAGTCCTCATAATTAGGCAGCCTCAGGCGGCATCCCATTAGGGGGGCAGCATGTGTAAGGGGGCAGCAGAGGGCGGCCCATAGCGTCTCAGGTTGCTAAGAGCTCTTAGCAACCTGTGATGCTCTGT